CAACCCAGCCAGCACAGGGTGTTATCACACTTTTGGATTTTTGCCAACAAATAGTATCTCAGAGTTGTTGTGATTTGCATTTTCTTATTAGAAGTTCATATCTTTGGGTGTGTTGAAGAACAATTTGCAGCCCTTTCTGCAAAGTCTTGGTTCAAAACCTTTGACATTCCTCTGAGTTTGGAGATAGAAAGGAGTGGAGTCTGAGGAAAGTGAGTTGAGCTAGAATGGAATTGAACCCAGTCTGCCTGATGCCTGGACTCCAATGAGGCCAAGACCCTCTTCCAGCCCACCCCTGCCCATTCCCTCCTCAATCCCACTTTTGTCATTATCACTCAGGTCTGACTGGGGCCTGCCTCTCCCTCTGGGACTATGGTCTCGTCCCCAGGTTCCCCACCTCCAGACCCCAGGCTCACTCTAGATGAATCTCTTGACACAGTGCTCCTCCCCTGCTCACACATCTGCCTTGGGTTCCCACGGTCCTGGGAATAAAGCCCCAGTCCTTAGCCTGCCTTTGAGGACCATGCAGCACCCCCCCACCCCATGTTACCTGTTCCTCCTCTTAGCGTCTCCACTCCATCCACTCTACTCCTGATCCCAGTGCCCATGCTTTCCGAAGCTGCAGGGTCTTTGCTCCTGTTGTGCCTTCTGCCTGGAATCTGCAGTGCATTCATTTCTGCATGCCATAGCGACTCATCCTCCAAGCCCCAGACTCAATGTCCCGTCCTCCAGGGAACTCCCCTTCCCTATCCCCCGGCATGGATGCATCATTGAGAGAGATCTCCGAGTCTGTGGGGAAGGTCAAGAGCTTGAAGAGTGAAAGATGAGTTTTAGGAATCCATAGCAAACTTCTAATCATGTGTTGAAGCCCTAATTTTAATGTCTCTTCCCCAGGAAGCCTTCCAGGACCCTGTCCTTTCCTCTAGCCCTGCCCTGACTCCATGGGAAGGGGGGTGTCCACCTCCAGCTCTGTCCTCCCGCAAGACTTGTGTTCCTTAAGAACCTGGCCAGGGCTGAGGCCCAGCATGGGTGATGTTTGTTGAATGAATAAATGAATGCATGGGTCAGGAGTCAACTGAGCTTAGACCAGGAAGTGAGCTGATGAGGTAGCAGTCAGTCAGGGTGTTAATGGAGGTCAACTGGGTTCCAGCAAAAGGGAAGCGGGTCGCCCTTCCCCCTGAGAATCCTGGGCCTGGAGGCCTTGCAGGGGGGTGGGTCTTCTCTGTGTCTTCTTCATTTTGCCCTCTGTACTCCACCCGACACCAGTTCCTCTTCCCCTGCATCTCTGGGTGCAGACTCTGAGGAGCACCAGGGACCACAGGGGATCTGAAAAGGTGCTGGTCACTGTGGTCCTGCGTCCAGGTGAACCATCGCACAGCCCCTCCAGACGGAAGCCTTCCAGCACTGCCCAGGTAAAGGGGTCTCTGTGGGACCTCAAAGGCGGGACAGAGGTTAGAACTAGGGTCTATGGAGGGGTGGCAAATCAGAGCTGGGGTGGCCCCTTTCAACGGCTCCCACTCCACCCACCATAGCCCAGGACTTCCAGATGCTTGCAATTTGGGGGTCGGGCCCTTTGAGGGAAAATCATTCATTTGTCTATGGTCCTGTCTTTGCCAATGAGACTGCCTGAAATGCTGGGGTACTGGGCCAAGCCCAAGGGGCTCATCTGGGAGAAGGAGGAGGGGCTGCTGGGGCCTGATATCCTCCTCAACCTTCAAGCCCTGCAGTCACGAGTGTTATGTATCCATTCCCCAGAGGGGAGACTGAGCTTGAGGCCAGAGCCATGCAACGAGGGGCCGACAAGTGAGGGGCTGCCTATTACCAGAAGTGGCCTGAGTTGTTCCGACCTATTTTTAAAAAAGCAATAATAAACCCAGATGGTGAGGGTGGGATGATCACAGGTTGAGGTCAGGGCTTGGATTGTTGTGTCTCTGCCTAGGTTGCTTGAATGGGGGGCGCCCTAGCGTGGGCGCTGTTGCTGCTGCTGCTGCAGGATCCAGGTAGCCAGGGATTGTCCTGCAACGTGTCCTCAGGGGACGTGGATTGGACCACGGTGTTTACAGCCACATGCTTGAACTTCAGTGGTCAAGGCTTGAGCCTGCCCAGGAACACGTCTCTGCAGGCTAGCAGCGTGCTTCTCCTGGACTTGTCTGGGAATGGCCTCCGAGAGCTCCCGTGGTCCTTCTTCACCCTCCTGGGGAAGCTGCAGATCCTGGATGTGACAAACAATCCCCTGAACCTTGTGGACACAGTACTGGCAGAACGCTGCGATCTTGATCTGAAGGCTGACTGCCACTGCGTCTTAGCTTCCTGGCATAAGGTCCGGCAGGACAACTGCTCTGGCCAACTGCCTCTGCAGTGCCTGGACGCAGGCACCGGCGCCTGGCACAACCTCTCCACCTTCCTGGAAGTTGGCTGTTCCCCCGGCCTAGCCTTGACAACCATTGGGGCACTGGCGGCCAGTGGAAGCCTGCTTTTTGGGCTTGCCATTGCTGGCCCATTGTTGGCCTGGAGACTGCGGGCACGATGTGCACGCAGTTGCCGGGGCCTGGGCAAAACGTGGGCTGTTCAGGATGATCCCAGCTCAAGCCAACAGCTGAGGTACAGTAGCCCTAAGCAACCATCAGCTACCCTACCCAGACCTCCCACGCCTGACTATGAGAACGTGTTTATGGGCCAACCACCTGCCAGCCACCAGTGGGCCAAACACAGGTGAGTGACCCACACACATTTGCCTGAAAGACTCTGGAGCCAGATGGGTAGGGTTCAAATCTCAGCTCTGCCCCTTGAAGGCTGTGCGATCTTGAGCAAGTAGTTTCCCCTCTCCGGGCCTCAGTTTCCTCACCTGTAAAATGGGAATAATAGCAGTTTCCACCTTATGGAGTTGGGGTAAGAATGAAGTGAGTACCTGTAGATGGAATAAGCTCTCACTTCATGACCTACAAACCCAGTTTCTGGCCACCAAGAACAGGGAGGGAAGAGGCAAGTGCTCCAGGCAGAGTGGGGGCTTTGTGGTAGCGGTCAGTAGCTTGGGTGCAGATCTCGTGTGACTCAGAGCTGTCTCTGAACTTCCATTTCCGTCTATGTGTAATGAGAACAGCCCTCTCTCCATCTCCTTTAGACACATGGGAGATGCTAAGAAAGCCATCTGTGTCCCCCTTCCCTCACAAAGCCCCAATGACACCTCTAGATCTGGCTGGGATCAGATAGATGGGTTCAACTTTTCCGGGTTGTCTGAGGAGTGGAGGGAATTTCAGGGGGAGGCACCAGCAGAAACAAATGCCAGGAGAGAAAACAGAGTCTGCTGTGAATGAGTTTGGGGATGGCAAGACATCAGAGCTGAGGCTGAAAGAGCTGGGAGGACCTCAGCAGAAAGGAACAGGGTTCTGGTTGTGTTTGGTGGCGGGATCCACAGTGAGAGCCTATTGCTGAGAGCTGAACGAATATACAAAGCAGATGCAAATATAGCTTAAAAGCAGAAGTGGCCTGCGGTAGGGATTTGAAGGAACTAGTCTTGCTAAAGCAGCTTGTGCTCTGATGCTCACCTCTGCCTGCTGTTTCCCAGGGCTCAGGGCCAGTGGCTTCCAAAAACATTTAGGATCGGATGTGTTGTTCCCACCCTACATTTTACAGTTGCAGTAAGGTGAGCTCTGGGAGGAGGGGAAATGACTTGCCCAAGGTCACATGGTGAGTCAGAAGCAGAGGCAGGAAACAAACCCTGACTACCAGTCCTGTCCATTCCCACACAACAAAATGTGTTTGGAGTAATTCATACCAAAGTGTGAATGACTGATAGATACCATTTACTAAAAGTGGCTTTTGAAAATAATTTTTTAATTTTTTAATTACAGTTGACATATAATATTACATTAGTTTTGGGCATACAACATAGTGATTAGACAGTTATATAACTTATAAAGTGATCACCTCAATAAATCTAGTACCCTTCTGACACTATACATAGTTATTACTGTATTATTGACTATATTCCTTATGCTATACTTTACATCCCCATGACTATTTCATAACCACCAATTTTTACAAAATGGCCTTTGTTACAGGAGGACTCAGGGTGGGATTAGAATGTTCTGGAGGCGGGAAAGTTCTTCTCTGGGGGTCTTGCCTACCATAGCTAGACATTCCTAAGAAGCAACATCCTCTCAGACCAGTTCTACGGATACATAAACTGAGGCTCAGACACTTACTTTTATATTGAGGCCACAAAGTCCCCTGCTTGAGGGACGGTGGTGTAACCATTTCCCATCTAAAGGGGTAGACACTGGCTCTAGCCACTTGTGTCCAGGTGACTGGTGTGACCAGAGCTTCGAACTTTTCAAGAGGAAACTGAAGTCTAGATTTTAATGTAAAAAACAGGCAACCATCTCAACTTTAAGGAAGAAAAAAAATGCTACAATGGCTCAAGGTCTTCAAACTGCAGTGTAACAATGCTGAATTCACAGAATCTTTCCCGACTCACTGCCCCTGACTTCCTTTCCACAGAGAAAGTCACTGGCTGGGAGAACATTGCCCTATGCTTCAATTTCCTCGTATGCAAATACTAGTTGTGGACTAGGTCACCCTGAACTTTCTTTGCCTGTCAAAGCTGATGTGCCCACCCTCTGAGTCCTCCTCTCTACCCATCTGTCTGTCCACAGGGCTCACCCTTCGGAGGACAGCGACTTTTACATGAATTACAAGGACCTCCGCCAGGTCTCCCAGTCTGTCTATGGCAACCTGGAGCCCCTGCGCCAGGCCCTACCAGACGAAGAGGAATACGTGATCCCTGGGCGCTGAGGCTGCAACAGCCTGAACTCCAGCCTGCCCCCTTCCAGGTGACTTGGGGCATTCCAGATCTCCCTTGGCCTCAGTCTCACAGTCTGAGGAGTGGGAACAGGGAAGGACTGTCCTTGCAGCCCCCTCCTCAGCCTCCTGCTCTGTTCTTCAGCTTCTTTGGCTGCTGGCAGAGGAAGAGGAGAGACTCCAACACAGACACAGGAAGTTCAAGGTGTGAAGTCTGTTGTCACCTTCCTGTTGGTGTGCAGACGGTGCTCAATAAAAACTGCAGGGATGACTAGACTGCTGGCCTGAAGGAGAGGGCTGTTTTCAGTGGGGATCTCCTGAACTCTAAAGGCTAGGTCTCTGAGACTCCTAGATTTCTCCTCACCCCAAGTCTCTCCCTTCTGTTCCTCTAAGGCCCCCTTCCCAGGTGCTTGGCATCCAGACTCAGCCCCCAAGGGAAGCCCATGCCAATCCCCAAGGGATCTTTGTAACTCATGAATCGAGCCTCTCCCCTGCTCACATACCTGCCATGGCTCTCCATTGTCCCTAGATCCTCAGCCTGGTCCTTGAGGCCTTTGTGATCCAGCTTACCCACCTCACTGCCCTCTCCCATCCCTCTGCCCTTCTGGTCTGGGCCTTATCCCCACCAAGCCCACCTCTGTTCTGGAGCCTTTATTTCCCTAATCCATTTGCCTGTGCTATTCCTTTTGCCCAGAATGCCACCCCCTTCCTCTTTTTCTCACTCTTAAACATCCTAATACAGATGCAGCTATATGGCCAGGGTGTCAGGAGGCACAGGTCCAGGTCCTGACTCCACCATTAACTCTCTGGGCCTCAGTTCACCCATCTGTAAAACATGATGTTAGAATTGGTCTCTAAGTCTGTTTTAGCTCTAATATACCGAGATATCTTAACTCGTCCAGAAACAGGAGTACTGAGAGCTGAGGAATGATAGAGACTGAGACCCAGAGTAACAGGGAGCTAGAGAAGCATGGAGACAAAGGGATGTCCCAGGCTGCCCTCGAGGCCCTTTGGTGGCACCATCCAATTACCTGTCAACTCCAACAACGCCCAGTCGACCATTCCCAGAATCCTTCCACGCACCCCTGTAGCAGGTCTCCTGTGGGAACTGAGGCCAGGGAGGGGTGAGCTTTTCTCAAGGTCTCCAGCTCTATTTGAACATCACAGGATCACAAGAATCAGGCCAGACAGCTTTATTTTTATTACCAGAGTTTAAATAAATGCACATCCTATCAGACCAACCCTCCACAACCCTCAGGTCCCCACGCCTGTAACCCCAATAAATTAGTAATAAATATCACTTATAAATACAGTGGTTTGGGCGGGAAGGGGCAGACAGCAGTGATTAGACTAGGATACTTCTGGTCTCACGAGCCCATTCGACAGACGAGGGCTGAGGACACCTACACTGCGCATGTGTCGTTAGTGAGGGCGAAGGGCCTCTCATACGCAGTGGCAGTCCTTGGCCACGAGGTCGTCATACGGCGTGAGCGACACACGGCCCTCGCTATCCCGGTGCATGAGTACCACCGGCTGGTAGCTGGAGGGGACGCAGCACGGCGCACGTACGGCGTCAGGCTTCAGACGGTGCAGGCGCATCAGCATCTGCGCATGCATGTTAGCGGACCGGAACTGGCTTGGGCACGCGCCGCTGCACATGCGCACGTCCAGCTCTTGAGGCGCTATCACCCAGTCCGCCCAGCCCAAGTCCTTGAGCGATACGCGCAAGCTCTGCAGGTGGCAGCAGCGCCCCTCTCCGAGCGGGCAGGCATCTCGAGTGCGCGCATGCGCGCTTCGGCGCTCCCTGCCGGCGCGTGGCAACCAGTGCAACTCTAGCTGGAGGTTTGCAGAACGTGATGCAGCCAGCAACCGGTCAGACCGCGGCATCCGCTGCAGGCGGAGTCGGGGCGCCCGGGAGACTCCGAGGCCAAGCTGACGCTGCAACGGCCGTGTAATGTCCCACGAGCTCGACTCGTGCTTGAGCAGGGCCCGATGTAGGCGGGAGGCTGTAGGGAGCCCCCTAGTCAGGTTGGCCCTGGGGATGTACAGGTGCAGGTAGCCGCCTGGCCCAAGTCTCACTGTGCGAGAGAGAGAAGAAGGCCAGTCACCATGGGCTTACTGTGTGCCGGGCATGGGGGTGCCCATTTATCCCCACAGGCCAGGCTGGATCCCACCTCAGGGCCTTTACACAAGCCCCTTTCTCTACCAGCCACTTTTTCCTTGAAACCCTCCAGACTGCCTAAAATAGGCACTGCCCTATTTTATTTGGTTGTGTATCATTTCATCTCCCCTATTAGAATTTCAGCAGGGATTTATGTCTGCTTGGTCACCACAGTGCCTGGTACACGGTAGGTGCTTAAAAAACACTTGCGGGAGTGAGTAAATAACTGATATTAGAGAGATTGGGATTCAGACGCTGACTCTGCCTCCTCCTTCTGGCAGTCAAAAACATTTTTACTGAAGACCTATAAGAGCCTGGCGTTGGGGATACGACAACCAACCATTGTGTTTTCAGTTCCTTGGGTCTCCGTTTCCTGAGAAATGAAGGGTGGCAGGCTGCCTGGGATTCCCATGCCCCCAGGCTGGTACAGGTGTTGGGGATACTATGGGGACTGGGGTTTGAGTTGCTGCATGAGCACCGCCAGCTTGCTAGGCTCAGAGAGGGCAGGAGGTTTACCTGGAGTCTCACAGCACCATTGGGATTAGGGACGGATAAGAGCACTCCCTCTTGCATGACACTCTCTCCCCAACCCCTCCCAGTTCCTAGCCAGCCCAGAACTCCTTCTGCCCTCTCCACCTCCTGGAGCCACCGTGGAGGGTGAAAAAATACTCCCCTCCCTCTTTCAAGGCACCTGTCATGTACGACTTTAGCAGTGCCTTGTCGCACGATTGCATCAGATTCAGAACCAGCTTGGGTCGGTTTTGTCTAATGCTACAATGCTAAGTACCGCCTACTGGCCTCCCATCCCCCGCCCTGCCCCTATATCCTTCCTCCTGGATCCCACTCACCCTCAGCCCCACCACCATCACAACTGCATACAAGGACAGGTACCGCGACCCCTGCCCGACCTCATCTCTGGGCTGTCCAGGCTCTGAGAGCCTTCAGGAGAGTTTCTGGCTTCTCTCTGCCTCAGTTTCCCCTTCTGCTATCCAAGGAGGTATCTCACGTTAGCTAAGCTTCGCCTTGCCCCGACACAAGCAAAGACGCTAGCACCCCCATCAGCCTCAAGGGGGCGGGGGGGCCGTTCTTGCCTGGCTTACAAATGGAGAAACTGAGGCTCGGCGCCATGCTCTATGACTCAGAAACAGTGGTTAGATGATAGGAGCTACCTGGGCGGGAGTCGGGGGGGGGCGGTGAGATTTCACTTACGCTTTGGGGTTAGTATCTGGACTCGAGAGGCAGGGATGAGGTCAGGGTCCGAGTCTTCCCAGCTATGGTTTGCTCGAAGTCTGGTCAGCAAATCTTCATAGCGTTTTCGCAGCTCCAGGAATCTGGAGACATTCGCACTGGAGTGCATGTCTGAGGGTCTTGGGAGGGCCGGGAGGTGTTCCTGGGCCAGAGATAAGGCACCTCCCGACGGAAGCCATGGAAGCCATGAGAGCGTCAGCAGCATCAGCAGCATCGCGGAGCAGCACGATGTCCAGAGCCCTGCTCCTGGTTCTCTGAGCTGAGACTGACGACGGGACGCTGCTGGCCTGGCCTTTATAGTCCCCGGACTTTGTCCGCCCCCGCCCGCCTGGTCCCGCCTGCCTTGGGTGCACAGTAAACAATCCAGGGACCACAACTGGGCAGGATCTGACGCTGCTTTTCAGGGAGAGGTTCTTGGGGGACAGTGCTCCTAGGGAAGCTGGGCAACACCCACCCACCCAGGAGCACCTCTGAGCCTCGGTATCCTCTTCTGTAAAATGGGGGCATTATCCCAGCTTGGTGGGCTGGTGGGAAGAATGATTTTTCTCAAAAAAGACATTACTATGTGCTAAATTTCATAGGAAGAGCCTAAGAAGTGGCTTTCTTCCCCCATGGAGTGCCGGCTCTCCCCTCTCTAGTTAGGGCCAAAGGCTGAAGATGTTGAAAAACAGAACAGAAGAAGAAGGGCCAGAAAGAGCCAAAAAGTGCAACCTGGGGCAAGATATTTCTCTCCATCACACTTCTGTTTCTTCATCTGGAAAATAAGGACTGAGACTTTGACTGGCGAGAAGGTCACATTAGGTATAAAAGACAGAACCAGGCATATAGTAGGTGCTTTATAAATCTAAGAAACTCCTACTCATTCTTCAAAACCCTACTCAAAAAGCACCCCTCCAGGAAGCCTTCTCTAACATTACCTTTCCAGGCTCAGCTGGATGCTCCCATCCCCTATCTCTTCCTCTTGCCCAGGTTTGAATCCCAGCACTGACAGTGTCTGTGCTTTGCTGTTTGTCTCAGACTAGGGGTTCCTGGAAAACTGGTGCAGAGATAAAGCCGCTATGGGCCTCAGTCCCATGGCTAGGCCCAGAGAGGAGGTGGCAAGGAATTTGTGGTGCTGCGGGGGGACTGGTGTCAGGTACAGCCACCAGATGGTGGAGGGGCAGGGGGTGCCCCAGAAACACCCTTCCCCCTGGGGCACCCAGACCTTTCTCCACTGCTCAGGACTCCTGGCCCCAGGTTCCAGCCCCTGTGCCTACTTCCAACTTCCCGGCCAGAGAAGATGGGCAGTTGTTCAAAGCAGATGGTAGGAGTGTATAAAATGTGACAGGTATGTACAGGCAAGACATACAAGGATTACTGGGGACTGCACAGCAAGGTTCCCACTGGAAGAATGGGATCTAGCACTGGGTGTGTGGACCCAGCCAAGCCTCGCCCTCACACCTCGGAGTCTCAGCCTCAGCTCTATGCAGTGGGATTATCACCAGGTAATGGGAGGGTCCCACCCCCAGTGTACAGGGGGTACCCAGCAGGTGCTCAGTAAATACAGCTGCTCCCCCTACCATCCAGACTGAAGCTGATCAGGAGGTTAAACCTGGCCTTTCCACTCTAGCAATGAGGTAATGGAGGGACAGATAGGGTGCATAGGGTTGTAGAGACAATCCCTTCATGGGCCATGCAAGCCACGTCTGAGTCATGTCGGAATGCATGGGTTCCCAGCAACACAGAGGTGGGAGGTTCTCGGAAGCCGTCTCCACTCACCTCCCTAGCTCTCCTGGGCATTGTCATGGGACAGTTTCTCATGCCTCCCAGGTAGGAGGTTCCACAGAAAATTAACAGGAAAGTCAACACTTGAAAGTGAAAAATTCAGTGACATTTAGCACATTCACAATATTATATAACCATCTTCTCCAGAATATTTCTATCACCCCAAAAGAAGATCCTGTCCCCATTAGCTGTCAGTGCCCATTTCCCAGCCCCTGGCAACCACTAATCTGTCTATGTATTTGCCTGTTCTGGACATTTTATATTAAAAATTCTGTACCCAGTTTTCAATACTGGGGTTTCCTCACACCAATAATTTTCTCACACCAGCTGGATGTCCTGTAAGTCAACCCAATTTTGACACTATCTACCTGGAGACAGCATCAGACCTCAGAGATCCGGGACTCAGTCCCACAAGACTGTCCTGAGCCCCCTCTTCAGATGCCAATTGCAAGTCCAGGTTGTCACCAGTGCTTCTGACCTACTAGCTATCAATTGGAGATTACCGTGACCCTCTCCTTGGGTTAGATTAATTTGGTAGAGCAGATCAGAGAACTTCAGAAACCCATTTACCCACTGATTTATTACAAAGGATATTAAAAGATAAGACGACAACCAGATGAAGCGATGCATTGGGCAAGGCGTGGGGAAGGAGCACAGAGCTTCCATGCCCTCTCTGAGCGGACCTCCCTCCCAGCATCTCCACGTATTCACTAACCTGGAAGCTCTTGAAACCCATCTTTTTGGATTTATTATGGATTTATTTATTCATGACATAGGCATGATTGATTAAATGATTGGCCACTGGTGATTGATTCAACCTCCAGTGCCTCTCCTCTCCCCTTCCCAGAAGTCAGGGGGTGGGATTGAAAGCTCTAACCTTCCAAAGATGTGGTTTGCTCCACTGGCCACCAGCTCCCATCCTTAAGTGTTTTCCAAAAGTTGTCTCATTAACATAACAAAAGACACCTTTCTCACTCTCTTCACGGGAAATTCCAAGGGTTTTAGGAACTCAGTGCCAGAAATGGGGTGGAGACCAACTATATATTTCTTATTATAAGTCACAATATCACACATATAAATGGAATCACATACTTTGTGTCCATTTGTGTCTGGCTTCTCTCACTCAGCTTGTTTTCAAGGTTCATTCGCATTGTAGCACGAGTCAATGCTTTACTCCTTTTTATGGCTGAGTAATGTTCCACTGTATGAATACACTGCACTTTGTTTATCAATGGTCATTTGGGTTGTTTCCACCTTTTTGGTGATCGTGAATAGGGCTGCTATGAACATCCATATACAAAGATTTGAGGACCTGTTTTCATTTTTTGTGGGGATACGCCCAGAGTGGAATTACTGAGTCATACCATCACTCTCCATTGATCTATGTTTAACTTGCCAGAATGTTTGCCAGAATGCCAGAATGTTTCCTACAGCCTCTGCCTTTTTATTTTTAAGCTTTGATTGAGATACGACCTTCATAAGGAAAAAGGATTAACCTTAGGTGTTCAGCTCGATGCTATTTTACAATGTCATCCCTGTGGGACTACTTCCTGGATCAGGTTCCATCCTGGGCCCTTTCCCATCATTCTCCTTGCCCCTGGCTACCAGCCACGTCCACCTCTATTATCATGGATAAGTTTGCCTGTTTTCCATTGTGATGTAATGGAACCAGCGGTACATTTTTCTTGTCCAACATCTTTCACTCAACACCATGTCCACGTGTGTTCTTTGTTATCTGCCAGGCAGTTTGTCCTTTTTCTTTTCTGTATAGTATTCCACTGTGCATATCCAGGAGTGAAGCTGCTGACTCACAAGTGGGCATCTGTCACTTTACAATCAGGACCAGTAATTAGTTCATTTTATTCCTGGAACTTCTCAAGGGGACGCAGCACCAGTGAGGGCCTAGGGGATCCCCTGGGAATGGGAAAGGGGGATGTTAGCTCCATGACAGTTTCCACTTCACCAAATTCTGGAATGCTGGCAGCCAGACCCATCTGGCTCCCCTCTGAAACATCTTTAGCTGATGACCTCATCGCCAGTCCTGTGGCCAAGCTGGGAGGAGTGGTGGGCCAGGCTGCAGGCAGCCCGCCAGGGATGAGCTCAGCAGGCCGGAACCTGCGTTACAACTGAAGGCTGACCAGGGTGGAGGTAAACAGAGCATGCAGGCCCCGGGGGGCAGGCTGTGATCTCCACCTGGCTCAGCCCCAAACCTCCCAGAATTTTCTTTCACCACTTGGCCATAGTCACCCTCATCAAATACACACAGTACACAAGGGAACACACAAACCCACTCTCACTGTTTGTTTCTCGTGACTTGAGGCAAACATATTCATGGCAGGAGATCTGAAAGAGGCTAAAAGGGAGATCATTTTAAAATCTACTAATCAAGGGACAAGGAGAACTGTGATCCCTTGCCGTTGTTAAAGAAGTAAAATTCAAACAAGTAAATTTAAAGATCTAATTGGCTTTATTTAATGATTCACAAATCAGGCAGTATCCCTTCTAGTAAACATAAATGTGCTCCAAGGAGTTGCACAAAATGGAAGGCATCTATAGGCAGAAATGGGAGGGACGAGAAAGTGAAGAGAGAGGACGATTTGGGCAAGGTCACCTTCCCCTAGTGGAAGACAGGGCGTCTTATCAGACAGGTGGCCTCCCTAGTGCTGACCAGGAAATTTCAGACTTATTGGTTTAAAATTCCCCACCTGGGAGAGGCTGAAACTGCAATTAGGTTAGATGTTCAGTCCCGTGGGGCTTACTAACAATGACTCTTACTAACAGTGAAACTGCTGTTTCTTTTTAACATCTCCAAAACTCAGTTTCTCAGTATTACCCCTTATAGAGCAGCACTGAATAGATGAAGCTTGATTAGAGCTACTATCTCAATATTTTAGAATAACCATTATTATAGGTGGTTGGGCAATGATGTCTCAACTTCAACCAGAGTTCAGTTCAGATATGCCTGGGCAAGTCTGGAAGGGACGGCCCCTGCTGGCGAATTCTTATTTATTTATTTCTTCAATTACAGCTTTGATGTCCCATGTTCTAATAAGCCTTACCCTCTCTTCCCAGGTTCCCTCAGGCTAAGCGGCCTCCCTGTGACCCCATCCTGACCACAGAGGCCTGGAGTGTCTGTGTCTGGTTCTGTGCTCCTCCAGACCAATGCCTTCTTCAGGACCAAGCCCCAGAGTCACTACAGACATACGTCAGAGATATTACAGGTTCAGTTCCAGACCACCACAAAAGGAGACGAATGAAAACAAAATCACAACATACTACAAGTTATAGATGCCACAAAGGCAGTGCTTGTAGGAAACGGATAGCTATAAATGGCTACATTGAAAATGATCTCAGATCAATAACCTAACTTTGCACTTTGATGAAGGAGAAAAAGAAGAGTAAATTAAAATCAAAGCTAGTAGAAGGAAGGAAATAGTAAAGATTAGAGAAAAGATCAAGAAATACAAAATAGAGAAAATAGAATCATTGGAA